TAACATCGCTTTTCGCCCGAATGTGCGCCATGGCCAAATTTGAACGTAATTTGAAATAAAATCGACTCACAGAAGTGACGTACTGTCTCGTTTTCTGTTTGAGTTGTCCGGGTTACTCGGAAATATTATGAGAGGAAACTTTCATTTAACAATTGAAAGTTTCAGTTCATTCAAGTTTCAGTTCAGTTTCAGAAAAATAAAATTTTTAATAACGGTTTGAAACTTTATGAGAATTGCCTGTCTACCTATCCTATCTGAGGACCATTAACTTAGTGTTGTTGAAAAAAAAATTCTTTTCTTTTTTTCATTTTCAAATTACGTCTACTTTCGGCCATACTGCTAAAATGCCGAAAGCGACATTATTTTTAAGAGGAAAGGTTGGAACGAGTCCTTACACAAGTTTCTAAAGGAAGTTCTTATGTTGCCCAATCTAGCATACGCCGCTGATTATATCATTTTGATGTGGGTCTCTGGGGACAGGTTTGGTTTGATATTATACCCAGATTTTTCTCTCTGACTCTTGCAGGATTTTACCTCCAAGGTGATACCCTATGTTCGGCCTCGTGCTCCCTTCTCCTAATTTCATTACTTTACACTTTCCTGTGTGATACCTTATTAGCCATTTAATAGACCATTCCTCCAGTTTGTCCAGGTCGTCCTGTAGTCTCTGCTTATCTTCATCTGTCTCGACTCAGCAAACATTGAGAGAAATGAGTCTATACCCTCATGAAGATCTTTTATATATAACAGAAACAGGATGGGTTCAAGTATAGAGCCCTGAGGGACTTCGCTGGTGACTTCTTGCCACTCTGAGGTTTCCCGTCTCAGGGAAATTTGCTGTGTCCTGTTACTTAGCTTCTCCATTGTCCACTAGAGCAGCGGTCGCCAACGTCTGGTGCTCAGAAAAATCTGGACATTATTTGCATCTTTTATGCTTTATTAATAATAAAACAAAAATCATATTTTATGAAATTCTTATATTTTGAATATTTTATCTTATTTGTGTATTGTATGTATCTGGGTATTTTTCTTTTTCTTAACTTTTTCTTAACTGGCATCAAATAGGTTTACTTTAATAACTATAATTTCTTGTTTGGTTTCAGAATCAGATGCAATAAACCCATAATGAGTGAAAAATGCAAAGGAATATTTTTCATTTCTTTAGTACTACAAAAAACAATGTAACTAATGATAACAGTAACAATAGTAATGTGTACTTGAGGTGTACTTGTACAGTGAGGTGATCAGTGATACAGAGCCTCGTCAGCCACCATTACCAAGAACATTCCAACTACTTTCTTCTCTCAACTTGCCGGGTAGGACAACTAGCCCTGAGATTTTTAAAGCAGTTAATAGTTATTTCCTGAAACGCGGAATTGAGTATAAAAAAAATGTATTGGAATGTGTACAGACTGTACGGCAAATATGACTGGACATATTTCAGGAACTGTTGCAAAGGTGAAAAATGTTGGCTCAGCCAGACATTTTATCTACACACTGCATTATACATCGTGACCAACTTGCGGCGAAAACTATGCCCCCAGAACTACACGAAGATATTAATCAGATATTATTAACACTGTAAATGAAATTCGACACAAAGTGTTCAATTCTTTAATATTTGAGGCACTTTGTGAAGTGACTCACAAAGTGAGGCAGTATACTGACCTTCACGCTGAGGTGAGGTGGGTGTCGAGGGGCACAATACTAACCCGACTATTCGCCATACTGCGCCAAGAAGTCAAATTTTTTTCCAGCAACAAAATAATATGAAATTTCAAGAACTCTTTTCTGACCACGACTGGGTAGCCGAGCTTGTATTCTTGGCAGATATATGTTCCCTGTTATTTTTTTTTTAACACTTAGTGTTTAAAAAAAACACTTAGTGTTTTTTTTAACACTTAGTGGGCCAACATCTGGTTGACCCACTAAGTGTTGCTTGTTTCTGTTTTACTTGAGCGGAGTATGAGTATTTATGACTCGTATGGTCGCTTCAGTAAGATTTTTGCCATAGCTTCTTCTGCTCTGTTGAATCTAAGTTGAAATCTTGATGGATTTGTAACTGTGCACTGTGTTAGATAATGTTCCAGTGGTCTGTCGGGCATTTCTCCACAGTGTTGACATGTCCTCTCATCTTCCGGAACCTGTAAGCCTATTTCCCATGCACATGGGTATCCAAGCCTGATGCGATGTAAGTGTACTTCTGTTGCTCTACTGCTCCCTTTCATCAAACTAAGTGGTTCGTAGTTGGTTGAATTCTTGTACCAACCCGCAGATCCTAATGTTGCAACTGCTGTGTTGTGGTCACTATGTTCCCTGTTAATGAACTAAACATATCCATGCAAGGATAACTTCTACCAGGTAAAATGGATGCTTTTCAAAAGAAAATATTACTGTGGCAAACGCGGTTGGATGAAAATGATTTGCAAATGTTTTCAAAATTTGATGAATATATGAGAGAGAAGGATGTGACCGGACAGAAGGTAACCATTGTTCAACAGCACTTACAGTCACTCGCAGATTCTTTTGCTCAGTATTACCCAAAGAAAGAAGATTCCAGAAATGTCAATATGTGGACAATAGATCCATTTGCAGCATACATTGAAGATAGCAATTTAAGCATGAATGAAAAAAAAGAGTTATTGATCTATCATCCCACGACATATCTCAACGCTGAAATACAATCATCCTTATCAAAACCTCAATTTTGGCTTTAGATAAAAAGTGAATAACCATTGCTGAGTGAAAAGGCAATGAAAATTTTTATTCATTTTCAACAACATGTTTGTGCGAAAATACATTTTCCTCAGTCACAGTAAATACAACAGGGTACCGGTCTGGCCTTGATGTATCTCCGTCTCTCCGTCTTGCAGTGACGTCATTGGAGCCAGAAATACATGAACCTCTGTCAAAGAAGCAGCAACAAATGTCACACTAATAATGTGTCATACTTAAATAAGCTTCAGTATTTTCTAATAATTAAACTAAAGAATTTTGTTACAGTTAAACAACCTTTAATGATTTCGAAATAATTAAATAAGCATTGATAATTTTGTTGTATTAAATATGTTAATTTCATATTAATAAAATGGAAGTTCTTTGATCATTATTTACGAATGTATTTATCTTTTTTATCTTCTATTAAAAAAATCATATTAGTAGTCCGTGGAATTTAAAATTATGAATTTAGGGTTCCGTGGTGTCCGTAAGGCTGGCGGCCGCTGCACGGGGGCACCTGACTTGTTATTCCTACTTGTTTCCCCAAACTTGTTGTGTCAAGTCTTTCTGCAACTTGTCCTCTTAAAAATAACGTCGCTTTTCGCTCGTGTGCGCGCTATGGCCAAAAATAGATGTAATTTTAAATGAAATCGGATCACAAAAGTGATGTTCTTTCCCGTTTTCTGTCCTCTGGCTTATTCGGAAAGGTTAGGAGAGGAAACTTTCAAATAACATTTTTCATGACGTTTTGAAACTTAAGGAGACTTTCCTGCCCACCTAACCTATCATAGGACCCTTAACTTACTGTTTTAGGGAAAAAAATCCTCTTTTTTTTTTTTTTTTGAAATTACGACCATTATCTGCCATACGGGCAAACGGCCAAAAGCGACGGAATTTTTAAGAGGACAGGTTTTTCTCTAGTGCAAGAAAATGCAGTCTGCCCAACCTTCTCTTTCATGCCTACTTTTTTTCCGCCGGGTCGAGGAATTCAAATAAGCCTGAGAGGCAGGATTTACCATCCCAGAACCCTTCCTGGGGGTGTTTCAAAGCTCCTTCTCGCCAGATGCTCTACGAGCCTTTTCCTCACGATCTTCTCCATCACGATGCATGGTATACAAGTTTGGGAACCTGGCCGGTAGTTCAGTGCCTCATGCCTGTCACCCTTTTTGTAATGTTCCTGGTCATGTGTTCCCGGTCATGTGTTCCTGGTCATGTGTTCCTGGTCATGTGTTCCCGGTCATGTGTTCCCGGTCATGTGTTCCCGGTCATGTGTTCCCGGTCATGTGTTCCCGGTCATGTGTTCCCGGTCATGTGTTCCCGGTCATGTGTTCCCGGTCATGTGTTCCCGGTCATGTGTTCCCGGTCATGTGTTCCCGGTCATGTGTTCCCGGTCATGTGTTCCTGGTCATGTGTTCCCATTCATGTGTTCCCGGTCATGTGTTCCTGGCCAAGTGTTCCCGGTCATGTGTTCCCGGTCATGTGTTCCTGGCCAAGTTTTCCCGGTCATGTGTTCCCAGTCATGTGTTCCCAGTCATGTGTTCCTGGTCATGTGTTCCCGGTCATGTGTTCCTGGCCAAGAGTCCCTGGCAATGTGTCCCTTGTCATGTGTCCCTGGCAATGGGTCCCTAGCCATGTGTCCCTAGTCATGTGTCCCTGGCCAAGGGTCCCTAGCCATGTGTCCCTGGCCATGTGTCACAAGTCATGTGGCCATGTGTACCAGACCATGTGTCCCTGGCCACGTGCCCCTGGCCATGTGTCCCTGGCCATGTGCCCCTGGCCATGTGCCCCTGACCATGTGTCCCTGGCCATGTGCCCCTGGCCATGTGTCCCTGGCCATGTGCCCCTGGCCATGTGCCCCTGGCCATGTGCCCCTGGCCATGTGTCCCTGGCCATGTGTCCCTGGCCATGTGCCCCTGGCCATGTGCCCCTGGCCATGTGCCCCTGGCCATGTGCCCCTGGCCATGTGTCCCTGGCCATGTGTCCCTGGCCTTGTGACCCTGATCATGTGTCCCTGGCCATGTGTCCGTGGCCATGTGTACCAGGCCATGTGTCCCTGGCCATGTGCCCCTGGCCATGTGCCCCTGGTCATGTGTCCCTGGCCATGTGTCCCTGGCATTGTGACCCTGGCCATGTGTCCCTGGCCATGTGTCCGTGGCCATGTGTACCAGGCCATGTGTCCCTGGCCATGTGTCCCTGGCCATGTGCCCCTGGTCATGTGTTCCAAGGCCATGTGTCCCTGGCCTTGTGTCCCTAGTCATGTGAACATGACCATGTGTCACTGGTCATGTGTCCCTGACTATGTGTCCCTGGCCATGTATCCTGGCCATGTGTCCCTGGCCATGTGTCCTGGCTATGTGTCCCTGGCCATGTGTCCTTGGCCATGTGTCCCTGGCCATGAGTCCCTGGCCATGTGTCCCTGGCCAAAGGTCCCTAGCCATGTGTCCTAGCCATGTGTCCCTGGCCATGTGCCCCTGGCCATGTGTCCCTGGTCTTGTGCCCCTGGCCATGTGTACCTGGCCATGTGTCCCTGTCCATGTGTCCCTGTCCATGTGTCCCTGGCCATGTGTCCTGGCCATGTGTCCCTGGCCATGTGTCCTGGCCATGTGTACCTGGCCATGTGTCCCTGTCCATGTGTCCCTGTCCATGTGTCCCTGGTCATGTGTCCTGGCCATGTGTCCCTGGTCATGTGTCCCTGGTCTTGTGCCCCTGGCCATGTGTACCTGGCCATGTGTCCCTGTCCATGTGTCCCTGTCCATGTGTCCCTGGCCATGTGTCCCTGGCCATGTGTCCCTGGCCATGTGTCCCTGGTCATGTGTACCTGGCCATGTGTCCCTGTCCATGTGTCCCTGGCCATGTGTCCTGGCCATGTGTCCCTGTCCATGTGTACCTGGCCATGTGTCCCTGTCCATGTGTCCCTGGCCATGTGTCCCTGGCCATGTGTCCCTGGCCATGTGTCCTGGCCATGTGTCCCTGGCCATGTCCTCCATAATTCCTGGCAGATATTTCTCTCACCATCGACTATTCTGTTGACGTTATTGATTCCCGGTTAATAACCAAAATGGCGGATGATCATTAACGGGACTCGTTAGTGGATAATCACTAGGGACGCACTCGTCCTGCACGCACTCCTGCCTCACAACACACTCGTCCTGCACGCACTCCTGCCTCACAACACACTTGTCCTGCACGCACTCCTGCCTCACAACACACTCGTCCTGCACGCACTCCTGCCTCACAACACACTTGTCCTGCACGCACTCCTGCCTCACAACACACTTGTCCTGCACGCACTCCTGCCACACAACACACTCGTCCTGCACGCACTCCTGCCTCACAACACACTCGTCCTGCACGCACTCCTGCCACACAACACACTCGTCCTGCACGCACTCCTGCCACACAACACACTCGTCCTGCACGCACTCCTGCCACACAACACACTCGTCCTGCACGCACTCCTGCCTCACAACACACTCGTCCTGCACACACTCCTGCCTCACAACACACTCGTCCTGCACACACTCCTGCCTCACAACACACTCGTCCTGCACGCACTCCTGCCTCACAACACACTCGTCCTGCACACACTCCTGCCTCACAACACACTCGTCCTGCACGCACTCCTGCCACACAACACACTCGTCCAGCACGCACTCCTGCCTCACAACACACTCGTCCTGCACACACTCCTGCCTCACAACACACTCGTCCTGCACACACTCCAGCCTCACAACACACTCGTCCTGCACGCACTCCTGCCACACAACACACTCGTCCTGCACGCAAGTCTGCCTCACAACACACTCGTCCTGCACGCAAGTCTGCCTCACAACACACTCGTCCTGCACGCACTCCTGCCTCACAACACACTCGTCCTGCACGCAAGTCTGCCTCACAACACACTCGTCCTGCACGCACTCCTGCCTCACAACACACTTGTCCTGCACGCACTCCTGCCTCACAACACACTTGTCCTGCACACACTCCTGCCACACAACACACTTGTCCTGCACGCAAGTCTGCCTCACAACACACTCGTCCTGCACGCACTCCTGCCACACAACACACTCGTCCTGCACGCACTCCTGCCTCACAACACACTCGTCCTGCACACACTCCTGCCTCACAACACACTCGTCCTGCACACACTCCAGCCTCACAACACACTCGTCCTGCACGCACTCCTGCCACACAACACACTCGTCCTGCACGCAAGTCTGCCTCACAACACACTCGTCCTGCACGCAAGTCTGCCTCACAACACACTCGTCCTGCACACACTCCTGCCTCACAACACACTCGTCCTGCACACACTCCTGCCTCACAACACACTCGTCCTGCACGCACTCCTGCCTCACAACACACTCGTCCTGCACACACTCCTGCCCCACAACACACTCGTCCTGCACGCACTCCTGCCACACAACACACTCGTCCTGCACGCACCCCTGCCTCACAACACACTCGTCCTGCACACACTCCTGCCTCACAACACACTCGTCCTGCACACACTCCAGCCTCACAACACACTCGTCCTGCACGCACTCCTGCCACACAACACACTCGTCCTGCACGCAAGTCTGCCTCACAACACACTCGTCCTGCACGCAAGTCTGCCTCACAACACACTCGTCCTGCACGCACTCCTGCCTCACAACACACTCGTCCTGCACGCAAGTCTGCCTCACAACACACTCGTCCTGCACGCACTCCTGCCTCACAACACACTCGTCCTGCACGCACTCCTGCCTCACAACACACTTGTCCTGCACACACTCCTGCCACACAACACACTTGTCCTGCACGCAAGTCTGCCTCACAACACACTCGTCCTGCACGCACTCCTGCCACACAACACACTCGTCCTGCACGCACTCTTGCCTCACAACACACTCGTCCTGCACACACTCCTGCCTCACAACACACTCGTCCTGCACACACTCCAGCCTCACAACACACTCGTCCTGCACGCACTCCTGCCACACAACACACTCGTCCTGCACGCAAGTCTGCCTCACAACACACTCGTCCTGCACGCAAGTCTGCCTCACAACACACTCGTCCTGCACGCAAGTCTGCCTCACAACACACTCGTCCTGCACGCACTCCTGCCTCACAACACACTTGTCCTGCACGCACTCCTGCCTCACAACACACTTGTCCTGCACACACTCCTGCCACACAACACACTTGTCCTGCACGCAAGTCTGCCTCACAACACACTCGTCCTGCACGCACTCCTGCCTCAAAACACACTCGTCCTGCACGCACTCCTGCCTCACAACACACTCGTCCTGCACACAACACACTCGCCTGCACCTCCTGCCTCACAACACACTCGTCCTGCACGCACTCCTGCCACACAACACACTCGTCCTGCACGCACTCCTGCCACACAACACACCCGTCCTGCACGCACTCCTGCCTCACAACACACTTGTCCTGCATGCACTCCTGCCTCACAACACACTCGTCCTGCACGCACTCCTGCCACACAACTCACTCGTCCTGCACGCACTCCTGCCTCACAACACACTCGTCCTGCACACACTCCTGCCTCACAACACACTCGTCCTGCACGCACTCCTGCCTCACAACACACTTGTCCTGCACGCACTCCTGCCTCACAACTCACTCGTCCTGCACACACTCCTGCCTTGCAGGATGGACTCGGGGATCGTGGTTTTAATGACCCGTGTTCGATTCCCGGCAGAGGCAGAAACAAATGGGAAGTGTTTCTTTCACCCTGTTTCATCTGTTCAGCTATCAGTAAATAAGTACCTGGGTAGCCCGTCCTCCAAACAAAGACCCAAAAGTGATTCCATGCACCCGCCAAACCCCCTGTGTATGAATTAAAAACTGTTTACACGCGACTCACAACTGACGACGTTCGAACACTTCCGGAACAAGTGCTTCACTGACGAATTTTGTTCGAACCCCAAGCTGTAAATGCTTCACCCACGTACTACAAATACAAATAATCGCCAACCGAACCTAAACACCTAACCTAACCTTTGCCTATATATGTACCATATGCTAATATATTATAATATTCATTTATATATGAGAAAATTCCCGTTTTGAATGATCAGCATGTTAACATTTATGAATGTGTTTGTGGAGTCGACCGCTATATGTAAAGGACGCGAGTCGGGGACGGGTTGACCTGGGAGTTAGACCGCTGGTTACTGGCTATTTCTTGGAGATGTGTGTGTGTGTGTGTGTGTGTGTGTGTGTGTGTGTGTGTGTGTGTGTGTGTGTGTTTGTGTGTGTGTGTGTTGTGTGTATGTATTTGTGTGTGCGCGTGTGTATTCACCTAGTTCTGTTTGCGGAGATTGAGCTTTGCTCTTTCGGCGCGCCTCTCAACTGTCAATCAACTGTTTACTAACTACTTTTTTTTCCCCACACCACACACACACACCCCCCAGGAAGCAGCCGGTGACAGCTGACTAACTCCCAGGTACCTATTTACTGCTAGGTAACAGTGGCCTTCAGGGTGAAAGAAACTTTGCCCATTTGTTTCTGCCTCGTGCGGGAATTGAACCCGCGTCACAGAATTACGAATCCTGCGCGCTATCCACCAGGCTACGAGGCCCCTATGTGTGTGTATGTGTGTTTCTGTGTGTACTCACCTATTTGTGCTTGCGGTGGTTGAGCTTTGGCTCTTTGGTCCTGCCTTCCAACTGTCAATCAACTGGTGTACAGATTCCTGAGCCTACTGGGCGCTATCATATCTACATTTGAAACTGTATATGAAGTCAGCCTCCACCACATCACTGCCTAATGCATTCCATCCGTTAACTACTCTGACACTGAAACAGTTCCTTCTAACTTACCTGTAGCTCATGTGGGTACTCAGTTTCCACCTGTGTCCCCTTGTTCGCGTACCACCAGTGTTGAATAGTTTATCCTTGTTTACCCGGTCGATTCCCCTGAGGATTTTGTAGGTTGTGATCATGTCTCCCCCTTACTCTTCTGTCTTCCAGTGTCGTAAGGTGCATTTTCCGCAGCCTTTCCTCGTAAGTCATGCCTCTTAGTTCTGGGACTAGTCTAGTGACATACCTTTGAACTTTTTCCAGCTTCGTCTCCATGCTGGGGCCGCATACTCCAGGATTGGTCTTACATATGTGGTGTACAAGATTCTGAATGATTCCTTACACAGGTTCCTGAACGCTGTTCTGATGTTAGCCAGCCTCGCATATGCCGCAGACGTTATTCTTTTTATGTGGGCTTCAGGAGACAGGTTTGGTGTGATATCAACTTCTAGATCATTCTCTCTGTCCGTTTCATTAAGTACTTCATCTCCTATTCTGTATCCTGTGTCCTGTTTCCACTGCCTAGTTTCATTACTTTGCATTTGCTTGGGTTGAATTTCAACAGCCATTTGTTGGACCATTCACTCAGTCTGTCTAGGTCATCTTGTAGCCTCTTACTATCATCCTCTGTTTCAATCCTTCTCATAATTTTTGCATCATCGGCAAACATTGAGAGAAACGAGTCTATACCCTCAAGGAGATCATTTACATATATCAGAAACAGTATAGGTCCAAGGACTGACCCCTGCGGGACTCCACTCGTAACGTCTCACCAATCTGAGACCTCACCCCTCACACTGACTCGTTGTCTCCTCTTGCTTAGGTACTCCTTTATCCAATGGAGTACCTTCTTGAGGTTATCTTGAGATGATTTCAGGGCTTTAGTGTCCCCGCGGCCCGGTCCTTGACCAGGCCTCCACCCCCAGGAAGCAGCCCGTGACAGCTGACTAACGCCCAGGTACCTATTTACTGCTAGGTAACAGGGGCATAGGGTGAAAGAAACTCTGCCCATTGCAGAGGGCAGAGTTTCCACTGTCCAGAGAGGAGGGCTGGAGCGAAAGGGACCTTCCCTTTCACTCCAGCCTGCATCTCCAGCTTTTTCACTAACCTCTTGTGTGGCACTGTATCAAAGGCTTTCTGGTAATCCAAAAACATGCAGTCTGCCCACCCTT